CCCATTAATTACCACAAGAATGAATGTGTTTATTCCTTGGATAGGGAACCCCATGAATGCATATGAATCTGTACCTGCCTTAGTCACACTAGCACAGAAGCAATGGGAACCTCGACTTTGTGCTGCCTTCATGAAATCTGACCATTTCCCCATGCATTTTGCCCCCCTCGTTCACTAAAATTGGGGGCCCATAGTACAGGTTTTTAACGGCTGCTCGGCCAGCTCCGCTTGCTCTCATATTGTGCAACTGCTGGGCAGACAGATTTCTTGATACGGTTTTTTTCTGATGGAAAGCAGAACCTGTTTTTTGGTCTGAAAATTTTCTTAATTTCTCTCCCCTCTTTTTCCAACCAGCTTAGTTCTGTGCTCTGAAGATGGGGCTTACCGTTCAGGATTTTCACTATTAAGTATGGAGATTCTGGTACTGGTTTCTCCTCTAGTATCTGTGAACATCATAGATCAGCCCTTCAGTTGGTGTAAACTAGTATAGCTTCGTTAAATGGAGCTATGCTGATATATACCAGACGAGGATCTGGCAGCATAGCCTATGTTTTTGAAAGGAATTACTAGAACCATTTGGGAGGTCTCTGTATGCCTCTTTCTTCAGTTCTCTTTCACCTATTCTTTACTACGGGTTCTCCCTACTCATTTATTCTCTTTTTCCAGCAGAGCAGAGCTTCTGCTCCAAATCCTGCTGCGCAGTGCCTACCCCCAAAAACCCTTTCAATCTCACTCCTATTTTCCTATTATTGTAAAAGAAAGACTGCTGCTCCCCATTCTTCATGTTTACAGGTGACACAAGGAGAAGGGGGGGCACCACACACAAATGTATGGTTCACACGTCCTGGTTTCGAGCGCTGGCCCTGAAGCTTGAGTTAGCACTTTAACGGTGTGATGAACAGAAACAGCAATACCATAGCACCATTAGTAGCAAAGTGTTGGATCTTCGTGGTGCAATGTGTGGGATACAGTTTGTGTGGGTTTTGCTAAAGTTTGCAATATTTTTTATGACCTCTATAGAACTGGATAGTTGCTTTACAGGTCCAGCTGTGTCAACTCCTGTGTGATGTGTCCACATTTTTCAGTGGATATCGCTGAATCTGATTTTAATAGTCCCACACATTTACACTTTAAAATTTTTGTTTCCTCATTTCCAGTGAGGAAGTAATATAGTAGCAAGGTGGTTTTGTGTTACCAGGTCATACCTTGTTTTTCCATCAGCTTTTGAGAACAAGACAGAAGGAAAGGGTCAAAACTACTCAATTGTTGAGCTTTTTACATTCTGGCCTTATTTTTTGTTTTTCGTTTACATATGAAAAGAAAAAAGAGAGTTCCCAGAAAATGAAAAGAGAAATTGGTTAGTGACTGGTTCTGATGATGCAGAAATAGCATTGTGGAGGATTAAAATAAAGGTGCCTCTTGGTGGATATATTTGGCATGACAGTCACTCTCCAGATTCTAAAGGAAGAGAATACTTCAGAGACCAAACCACAAATCTTTTGCCACTTGCTGATGTTCTAAGATGCAGACATGCTGGTTTATCAGAATATATTCCTCCAGGAAGGCTCTGTGGGGGAGAATATTTAACCGTGCATTGTACTTTGCTGCAGCTGTGGATTTTTCTTTTTTTAAAACTATCTCAGCTGCCGTTCCTGCATCGTCTAGTTAATTCTGTTCCTATTCAGATAGAGCTAATGACAGAATGTTGGGATAATTATATCTTCCATTCCCTTACTGTATCTTCTTTCATTCTAAAGGACCCATAAGTATTTTACAAACTTCGGTCCTGATCCTGCAGTGAGCTCCATGTGGACGGACACCGGCACAGAGCCCATCTGACTTCACATATGCTGGGATTGGCCGGCATGGAGCAGCTTGCAGGATTGAGGCCTAAACTCAGTGCAGATGGAATTTTAGGAGAGGTTCGCTATCAAATTAACAAGTGTCTAGTGAGCAAATGCTAACTGAGATTTTTTTCAAAGGCTCATAATTTGGCCAAATTTAGGTGAGATTGCACAGGAAGAGCAAACGGTACATTCGCGATACAAAGGCCACCCCCCCTACCAAATTTCCAGAGGTGCTGGAGTTTCTCAATGAAAGAGTAATAAGAATTGTTTTTAACGTGGACAGAACAGTGTGTGTTTCCTTAGCCATTTTCTCAGAAATGGCTGAACCTTTATTGCTGAAAAGTTCAGCCTGAGGCAGGCACCTGGCATGGAAAATTTCAGCACAAATAGCTACTTTTTGGCAAAATTATAAGCAACTGGAAACAGGATCTTTATATTAGGAACTGTTGGTCAACCTTAACTTTAGGTGGTGCTACCAGCTACACAGATTAAAAAATGTACTGTAGTACCCACTTATCAGCGCTGTTGGCCATCTGCGCACATTATAAAGATTGTCCTTGCGTAGGTAGCAGCTATCTACCCCAGGGATAGAGAATTTTCTCACCCTTCAGCAACTGCATACTTAGGAGAAGTATGGTCTTCTTTACTAAGTATGAGGAGGAACAGAATGGCTGCCCTTACATCAGAGGAAAAACAGAACTTTAAGTTCTTCTATCTGGGGATTATGGTGACATTTGAAGGTGGCTGTGATAAAGATATTGATAGGAGATTAGGAAAAGCAAACACTGCTTTTGGAAGGATGAACAACAACTAGTCAAACAGAGGTCTTTACAGCATGCTAAAGATCAGATTGCACCGTGTGATTGTACTGAACATGCTACTGTGTGGAGCAGAGACTTCGGCAATGACAGTAGATAACAAAAAGAGATTGAGTACTTGTGGCACTTTAGAGACTAACAGATTTATTTGACTGGTTTCAGAGTAGCAACCGTGTTAGTCTCTATTCCCAAAAAGAAAAGGAGTACTTGTGGCACCTTAGAGACTAACGCATTTATTTGAGCATAAGCTTTTGTGAGCTACAGCTCACTTCATTGAGGAAGGATCTTGGTAAACCTTTCCTAACTTAACCAGAGCTAGCTGGACAGTTCTGAGCTCTGATAGGTTCCAAAAAGGAAAGATCTCCCTGAAGAGGACCATTTGCCTTAGACCAGAGGAGGCTCTGTAGGAGCTCCCATACCCAATAGACTTGAGTCCATCATCCCACGTAGCCTTTTGGGGGTCTTGCAGGGCATTCCCTTTATTTTGTTATTTATGACTGTTCACTGTACAAAGAACATCTTGACCTACTTGAGTATCATCACTTAATATCCAAGATTCTGATCTGTAGGTCTTCCATGAGAAGGTCTTCCATGTCTTCTATTTCAACAGCCTTAGATGAAGTTGAGCCCATAGAACTAAATCCTGGCAGAAAACCATCCCTCTCAACAGATTCAGTAGAGACTGAAATGGTGGGTAGTTCTGAGATGACAATACAATAACCAGAGACTTTAGCCTCAGGAAACCATGCTCCAGTAGAAATATGGAGCTCCTTTCTGTGTCTATCAGGAACCCTAAGTGAAATGTTTCTGGAAGAGTACTGCAGTATTCTCCTCCTGATCAACCCAACACAAACAAACATTCATAGAATCATAGGTTTCAGAGTAGCAGCTGTGTTAGTCTGTATCCGCAAAAAGGACAGGAGTACTTGTGGCACCTTAGAGACTAACAAATTTATCTGAGCATAAGCTTTCTGGCTAAGGTCTCTGATTATTGTGTTGTCATCTCAGGACTACCCACCATTTCAGTCTCTACTGAATCTGTTGAGAGGGATGGCTTTCTGCCAGGATTTAGTTCCATGGGCTCCACTTCATCTAAGGCTGTTGAAATAGAATCTTCTCATGGAAGACCTTCTCATGGAAGACCTACAGATCAGAATCTTGGATATCAAGTGATGATACTCAAGTAGGTCAAGATGTTCTTTGTACAGTGAACAGTCATAAATAACAAAATAAAGGGAATGCCCCTGCAAGACCCCCAAAAGACTACATGGGATGATGGACTCAAGTCTACTGGGTAGGGGAGCTCCTACAGAGCCTCCTCTGGTCTAAGGCAAATGGTCCTCTTCAGGGAGATCTTTCCTTTTTGGAACCTATCAGAGCTGTCCAGCTAGCTCTGGTCAAGTTAGGAAAGGTTTACCAAGATCCTTCCTCTAACATTGTCATTGCTTACGTAAATCATCAAGTGGGATCAAGTTGCAAATCTCTTCTCAAGGAAACCCCCCTCCTTTTCAAGCACACAGAATGCCATCTTCAGTTCACACTCTGATAAAACAATGTGTACTAATACATTTGTATAAGCAGGAGGCAAACTCATTACAGACAGAGGGCTTCAAGCTGATCCATGTCTCAAACAGTAGTAGAAACTCTAAGAAATCTGCAAATACACCTGTTTCCTGCAACAGAAAACCAAAACATTAAAGGCCTCTGCATCAGAATCAGGGGCATGGAGGAAGAGGCCCAAGATGATGCCTTCATGATGAAGTGGTTCTTTCATTCAACCTACACGTTTCTTTGTACCTCTAATTTGGAGGGTTATAAAGAAAGTCAAACAGGATAGAGCCAAATCAACTTGATAGTAACGCAATCGCCAGGCAGTTGTGGTTAGCATGCATGTCAGCTGACAGTAGTCCTCCAGTTGATCTTTCCCTGCAACAAGCCATATTGTCACAGGGCAACACCATGTCATGATCACAACCTAGCATTGGTATCAGCCTGGCTTGTGAACAGCTCCTTCGGCAAATCTAGGCCAATACACAGAGTTCTGGCTACTCTTCTACAGAGAAATCTAGACCCCATTGAAATGAATGGCAAAACTCCTATTGACTTCAATGGAGTCAGGATTTCACTCCTGGTCTTTGGAAAGGAGGACGCCTCAGCTATCTACTACAGAATCTGGACCATGTTCATTTTCTGCTACAGGGACAGGGAGTTTGGTGCTAATGCCATAGATGCAAATACTGGCCATTCAATTTCTATTTTTGATGAATTTATTGTTTAAATTTTAAATTATTCAAAAGTTTAGTTTGATTCATTTTGTATGTCCTTGTACTTTCAGATTACGTTTTTAGAAGATCTCAATTGGAGCTGTGGAGAAAAGAAAGGAAGGAAGGGAGGCAGTGACTGAATGGTAGGAAAACTCTTCGTCTCTGGCGGATGTCTCCTACCTGATTTGGAACTGGAGTGGGGTGGAGGGAAAAAAATTCTCTTTTATGGTGAACTCTGATATAATGCACCTTCATCTAATAGTGAGTCTACTCAACTTCATCTAATTGTGAAAAGGAATTAAGTCCTGAATTAATGCATTTCCATGGGTTTTTATTACAAGTAGACTGAAATTGTATTCCACACTACAGATTTTACTATCATGGGGAAATCAAGTTGCAATGCCTTCACCACCATTACATTATCACTATAAACAGACCCTCTAGAATAAGACCTTTTGAGAAATTCGGGGTTTTTTTGTTTTGTTTTTAAAGTGCATGTTAGGCAGATTAGACAGCTAAATCCCTGATTCAGCATTTGTTACTGATAGTGAATTTCTGCTAAGTGCAGAATCACTTTATTTTCTAGGTGAGGGTTGCTTTGTGCACCCTGCAGAAAGGAGAGCTTAATTCCAGATGTAATAGGGGAAGCCAAGGGGAGGACCAGCCATTAATAATTGTTCTGAGCAAGGAGATTGCATGATGGCTGGGGCACCAGATTCCCCCTGTTATTGAGGACATTTCCCCCTTTTTCTCAGAGATATATAGATAGATACCTACTGTTTTTTCCTTCCCCGCAGAGATTAACATTTTGAATGAAGGTGTGTATATCAAGTATTTAGCTATCTAATCTAAGGTTTCTGCCTTTACAATAGAAGCAGTGGCAATGCCAGCAATGTTGGTTCCCAGACTTTGAGCTCCTCCAACAACACACAATGAAACAGTGCAGCACAGTAAAATGCAGTATACTTTAATACTTTGTGAGGAAGGCCCTTTATCTCCTTGGGGCCTTTCCCATTAGCCTCCTCTGTCTGCTGCTCCTTCTCCATCCGGTCTTTTGGGTGCTCATCTTCACCAAGGTTCTGGCAAGCTGCATTAGCTAACTGGATGCTTGTTTGTCAGGACAGAATCTAGCCCTTCATGGAAGGGCAGCCTGGGAGGTCAGGTTTTTAATAATACCTAGCTCTTCTCTGGTGCTCTTCATCAGTAGATCTCAAAGCACTTTACAAAGGCGGTAAGGATGCTGTGGTAGCTCTGCTTTGCACTGTGCGCAGTGTACTGACACCTTATATAGGCCTATTGGTTGTGGACCTTAGAGGCCAGGTGTACCCTAACCATCTCATTGCTCCAAATCCCAAGTAAGACCCTCATGTTGGCCTTTGGCCAGCTCATAGCTTGACTAAATACTTTCCCTGGAGTGGGCAGTGAATGCTGGTGTTCAGAAGTACTATAGTTACCTAAAGCAAGTGCTGTACATTAATACTAATAAAGGATTTCCTGTTACTCAGTGGAATGCCTGTAGCAAGGAGAAATAGAAAGCTGGGGGAACCTGATAGGAAGCACTCGCTGAGAAATGTGAAGCATGGTGTTGTGGGATGGAGCTGGGAGAACTGGCTAACTTGTGTAGCTGTACGGTTGTGGTTTCATGTCCAGTCTGGTGAGAAACTGTTGTAGAATGTAGATACTCAGCCAAATCTGAGCTAAGGACCTTGTCCCAGCAAATCTGTACACAGACTTGATAAAAGACAAAAGTATGTGGGGAGGGAGGAAGAAAATAGATGTTATGACTGTGTCTTGTCTGAGTGGTTTTTTTTTTGGTTTTTGGTTTTTAACGAAGAGTCAGGAGGAGGACTGTAAGTTGGGAAATGGTTTTAAAATTGTTGGACTACAAAACAATCTAAAAAATCTAAAAGGGGAATGGTGTACAGTAGGGCTTTGGAAAATATAGGATGGTGAACTGGAGCTTCCTTAATGCATCAGCCCATCTGTCTTGCTAATTTCTTTGCCTTAATCACAGACTTCATGAAGTGTCTAATTTTCTTTTTTTAGCGTTCTGTCTTCCTCTTGTGCAAAAGTTAAGGAAGGGAAATGATTGGAGCTGGATTTATTTTTACATGAGAAAGGAAAAAATAGTATCCAAAGAAGTTAATGATTGTGTTTGTGTGTAGTGTAGGTCTGTAGATATAAGCCATGTCTACACTGGGGATTTTTTGGGGGATTGAAGGTAAAAATTTCCCACTGTTGCTACCGTGGCGACTCCTCTCGTGATGGTAACAGTGGGAGTGCTAGTGTTGACCAGCTTCCAATGGTTGCTAGTGATTTTAATGCTGGGTTGTCTAACTCTGCTCAGAGCAGGTCTAAACAACATGGGGTGAAATCCTGGCTCCATTGACTTTAACAAAGCTTGTATTTCAACCATCGTATTTAAAAATGGCAGTGGCTGCAGGATGGTGGGATGGTCACTAGTACTCTTACTTTTGCTACTATTAGTCATTAACTATCAAGGCATGGAAACCTAAGGGCAGATCCAGCTCTCCCTTACACCTTTGTATTTCTGCAGCATTTGTATTAAGGTCCATGGAATTACTCCAGGTTTATACCAGTATAAATAAGATTACATTCTGGACCCAAAGGTTATAACCTTTTTGTGTACTGTTCAATGGCCTAGATGAAATGAGTTTTCAATCTCCATGTGGTTCCTAGTTGAATCTTGATCAAAATACATTGAGCTGCATCAGTTTTTAGCAACAGTGGGAAATTTTTGCCAAAATCCGCAGTGTAGATATGGCCACATACTTGCAGTATGTACTATGTGGAAGACACTGATTGACATTAATTAGGAGTGGGTGGTGAGAAAGTGTAAAAATAAAATTCCTTTCTGCAAGGTTTACTATTAGAAGCAAAGTACATGATGTAACACCGAATGCGTGCATGTGTGTGTAGAGGAGGTTGCCTATTCATCATTTAGAACAATAGTGGGAGTTAAACATTCCAGGTTTGAATGTCAATAAAAGTCTGGGAGTGCAACCTTTCTGTTGTGTGCTGCTCAGTATAATGTGCTTCCTATTTGTTTCTGTTTGTTTGGAGCTCAAAATGCCTTGGGAAAAAAACCTAATGCTGTAGAATGGAATTTGTGGCAGAAAAACTGCTCCAAGTACTTTGTGTTATTACCTAGGATTTCTTATTCTAAATCTATTCCAGTAGGAAAGGACAAATTTATCTGTAAATTGTAGTAGGAACAGCACATTAAAATTGAATAGGTCATCAAGGAGTGAGTAGGTATAGTCTTGACTGATAGTATTTCTCAAATCCTTCTCTATATGTATTCTGAGGATAAGAAGCAATGAGTGGGTTGCACTGGATTAATGATTTGTGAAATATATTTTTATGTATGTCCAACTTTTCTTCTGAAATATATGGGCTTTATGAGTGTGGTGTTGGTGGAGGATTTTATGTGGAACTTTTATACAGCTCTGTGTGTGTGTGTGTTTCTCTCTCTTCTGAGCACACACAGATTTTCCATCCTTTATTCAAAAAAACCCACAAAAACCTGAGGGGGAGGTACAGATCTGTAGCTAGTGCGAGTTTGTATAGCTCTAATCAAGTGACTGTAACTATGCTAGTTTACACCATATCTGCTCCACAACATTCAGGGCCTTTCAGATTTTGCCTAGGTTGATACTAACCAAGAGCCAGATTCTGCTCTCTGTTACGCTGGTGTAGATCCATAACAAGTCCACTGAAATCCTCTGAATTGCTCCAGATTTATGGCCGATGAAATCTGAATCTGGCCCCAAAAATCAGAACGGTTTTATTACTGCTGAGTAACCTAAGTGACATGAGTCTTCAGTCTTTGTTTTCTAGTTGAATATGACAGTTGACGCTAACTGAGACTCTTGCTAGCAAAGAGGCCAAGGCTTAGTCATGGAGACTAAACTGTCCTCTCAATGGCTGTTTAGTGGTGGCCGTATTGCTGGGTCAATTTGGAAAAGCTTGCATTGCAGTTGCTTGTGTCGTGCCTCGGATTTGGAGAGAGGACTATTTATTTAGGGTTTCAGTTCGTCACCTTTCACTAATCCTAAATCATTTAAAAACATGTTTAGAAGTTAAAATGTCCACCTGCATTGGCAATCTGAGCAGCTACTTAAGAGATTGCTTTGCTTCTGGAAGAGAGAGCCTGAGAGCTGATGTACACTACTGCGTAAGTCCATGTAACTTACATCCCTAAGGGGTGTGAAAAAGGCACCCCCCCAAGCGACGCAAGTTACATCGACTTAAGTGCTATCCGCATAGGCGCTATGTCAGGTGGAGATGCTCTCCTGCTAGGTGGAGATGCTCTCCTGCTGACATAGCTTCTGCTTCTCGCGGAGGTGGAATCATTATGCTGAGGGGAGAGCACTCTCCCATTGGCATAGTGCCTTCACCAGACGCGCAACTGTGGTGCAGCTGTGCCGATGGAGCACGGTCGTATAGGCTTGCCCTGAGTCTCAGTACACTGAACACTGTGTATGCCCTCAATAACAGAGGTACTCTATCTTCTGTCAGCATGTAGCGCTGCAGTAGCACAATGAATATTAGAAGTGGCTGAGCATAGCCTGCTCATGCTACTGATCCCAGTGCTGTCACTCTGATGTCTTAAAAGCTTCTGCCTCCACAGTGTTTACAGCTGGTGCCACAGCACTTGGCTTGGCTGATGAAAACTTCATAGATACTGGAATCAGAAAAAAAAAGTCTTGGGTCACCAGGTCCATTTCCTTTGCATCACTGCCGTTTTTATGCATAAAATTCTACAGAATCACAATCAATTCCTTTAAGTCTATTTAATACCTCCAGTGATAGCAGGTCTGCCCCTTCCCTAGGGAGGTTACTCTGTTTTTCTGGGTATTTATTTGCCAAGTTGAGGAAGATCACTCTGAGATATCCAAAGCATGGAACTGCTGGTAGCGAAGGCATCAGTTTTCTGTAGGGCATGGATGTGGAGAAGGGGAAATCTTTAAATAAACAAAGTAAGCAAAACACAACCGGTACCTTGGATGGTGTAGAAGAGGCCATAGGGAGATGTGTACATACATGAAGAGTGAGATTTCCTGGTTTTTCCCGGTGCTGGGTGTGGTATTTAGGTTTCTACAGTTTAATTAAAAACCAG